TTTTTCTTGGTTTTGAATGCTACTACACTCTCTTGAATTTTTGCCTCTCTACCTGGTGGGTATCTTTTTAGTCTCTTCTGCTAGCTGTTCCTATTCTCCTTGATTTACTAACTCTGGAAAGCTAAGGTCCAGTCCTTGATACCGTTCTTCCCTCTATCTATTCTGACTCAGTTGGTGAACTTACCCACTCGACACTTTAAAACTATCCATATGCCAGTGCCTGCCAAATTTATGTTTTTGGTCCAAGACTTCCTCCTAAACTCCAGATTCATGTCAACAACTGCCAGTTTGACATTTTGACTATGGTATGTGATAGACACCTCAAACTTAAGTGTCCAAAATGGAATTCCTGATTTTCTTCCTCAAATCTGTTTTATCTACAGATTCCTTTTACAGTTTATCCAAAGTTCATCCTCCCCCTGTTTGGGTAAAAATTGTGGTGTCATCCTTAAATCCTTTCCTTCTCTCACACCTCATATCTGATCCATAGTAAATCCTGTTGGCTCTACCTTCAACATTCATCCAGAATCCAAGTATGTTTTACCATTTCAAGGGCTACCACTGTGGTCAAAGCTACCAACCACCTCTCTCATTGCATTTCCTTCTAATTGCTTTTCTTGCTTCTAAACTTCTGTCCTCACAGTCTATTTTTTTTAAAAGAAAGGGTCTTTACTGCCCAAACTGTTACTTAACTCCTAGACTCAAGTGATCCTCCTGCCTTGAGCCTCCTGCTTAGCTAGGATTACAGGCATGGGCTACCATGTCTGGCTCTATTCTCAACAGAGTAGCTAGAATGCTTTTAAAAAACCTTTTCCTATGAAAAAACCCACATAATAGAATAATATAATAAACTCTCTGTATACCCACCATCCAGCTTTAGTGGGTTTTGGTAGATGGCCATTCTTGTTTCATCTTCACCTCACAGTGCCCTGTTCTCTGTATTATTTTCATACCACAATATTATATCTAAAAAAGATAAATTGCTGGTACGATGGTATACAACTGCAATCTCAGCAACTCAGGAGGCTGCGGCAGGAGCATTGCAAGTTCAAGGCCAGCCTTGGCAACATAGCAAGACCTTGTCTCAAAATAACATAAAAAGGGTTGGGGATATTTACTCAGAGGTAAAACGCCTCTGAATTCAATCTCCAGTATTGAAAAAAAATGCTATCAATTGGCTGCTTAAAACCTGCCAATGAATCCCTCTTAACTCAGTGTAAGAACTAAAGATTTATAAGGCTTCTGGAAGCCGTTACCAGGAGCTGGCAAACTACGTCCACAAACTAAATGCAGTTGGTCACTTGTTTTTTGTGCTCCACGAGCGAAGAATAGAAGGATTTTTTTTTTTTTTTTAAATCCAGAGAAGAAATTTTTCTTTGGTGTATTAGGGATTGAATTGAGGGTACTTTACCACTGAGTTACATCTCTGGTTCTTTATTTAATATATACTTTTTAGATGTTGATGGACCTTTATTTATTATTTATGTGTGGTACTGAGAATCGAACCCTGGTGCCTCACACATGCTAGGCAAGTGCTCTACTACTGAGCCACAACCCCAGCCAATCCTTTAATGATTTTAAAATATTTATTTTTTAGTTGTAGTTGGACACAACACCTTTATTTTATTTATTTATTTTTATGTGGTGCTGAGGATTGAACCCAGGGCCTCACAGGTGCTAGGAGAGCGCTCTACTGCTGAGCCACAACCGCAGCCCCAAGTCCTTTAATTAAAAAAAAAAAATTGAGATAGGATCTTGCTAAGTTTCTCAGGCTGGCCTCAAACTTGTGATATTCTTGCTTCAGCTTCCCAAGTAGCTGGGATTATAGGCATGTACCATCATGCCCAGCAAAAGAACAATATAGGAAAAATGACATGTGAAACTTATATGAAATTTATTTTCAGAGTCTAAAAATGAAGTTTTATTGGGATATGGCCATGTTCTTTTCTTTAAGTATTGTCTATTGCTGTCTTCATGCTACAAAGGCAGTGTTTTAAGTAGTTGCAATCAAGATACATGGTTCACAAAGCCTAATGTATTTAGTATCTGGCCAATTGTAGCAAAAAATTGCCAACCTCTGCCATAATCAATCAGGCCCCTGAGTAATCCCTTTAACTTCCTCTTCCTACATACTCCATTCTCATCTCACTAGCCTCTTTTCAGTTGCTCAAATAGGCCAGACAATCCTATCTTATAGCCTTTCTAATGGCTGTTTCTTCTGCTTGGAACATTATTACCCTAAACATCTGCATAGCTCTTTCTTTTGCTTTTAAGCCTTGGATCAAACTGCCACTTACACAATGAATTCTACCCTGACCACTCTATTTAAACTTGTAACTCATGCTCCTTTCTCTATACTCCCTATCTTCTTACTGTACTCCACATTTTTTATTTCCATAGCATTTACCACCTTTGAATGTGCTATTAAATATCTACTGCTTATGCTGGGTATGGTGGCACATAATCCCAGCAACTCAGGAGGCTGTGACAGGAGGATGGCAAGTTCAAGGCCAGCCTTAGCAACTTAGCAAGACCATGTCTCAAAATAAAAAGTATAAAAAGGACTGGGGATATACCTTAGTGGTAAATTGCCCCTGGGTTTAATCCCCAGTACCTCAAAAATATATCTATTGATTATTATCTACTTCTCCCAGCTAAAAGTAAGTTCCATGGTATATGAATGATTCTTTGTTGGTTCACTGTCAGACTCAATGCCTTTACATAATTAGGTATAAATATATGTTGCTTTTCTTTTTTCAGTACAGGGGATTGAACCCAGGGCTTTATGCATGCTAGACAAGCACTCTATCACTACATGTTGAATAAATACAATTCCTTATAATCTAAAGTTTGGGTTGTAGATGCAGCTCAGTAGTAGAGCACTTGCCTAGCATGGATAAAGTCCTGGGTTCAATCCCAAGCACTGTTAAAAGAAAGCTTGAGTCTCAATGTGGTAAGATCTTTATAAAATGAAAAATTTGAATTCTAAGTCATGAAAATAAGATGACAAATTTTTTCCAGAATGTTATATCCATCTGTTCATCTATCATCTACTTATCAATCTAATATTTACTGTCTGTCTGCCTCGTCAGGGTGTGGGATCTAAAAATAAAAAAAAATCTGAGCTAACAACTTATAGATGAATAACCATAACAGAAGGCAGAATGTAGTAATGCAGGGCTGTAATGCAAACCCAGGTCTGCTAACGTCAAGTCAATGCTTTATTTTGACACAGTCATGTTGTCAATAACTAACAATTATAAAAATAATTATTTGTGTTGCTGTGGATTGAACTCAGGGCTTTGTACATGCTAGGCAAGCACCCTACCACTGAACCAGCTCCTAAAGATAATTTTCTCAAAATAGTAAAAATAGAGTGAAAATGCAGGTTCCACAATAAAGAAAATTAGTAAATTACTGGATGGAAATTCAATGTCTTATAAAATGATTAAATAATAATTATGAAAACAGAAGATATTTCACTTGAAAAGTGGGAAAAAGTATGTATCACAAACTAATCTATGGTACAACAAAAGATGGATATATTTATTCAGTAAACACTAATCAAATGCTAACAGCACTATGCTCTGTGCCAGGGAAAATTCACAGAAGAATGATGCACAATCTTGGTCCTCAAGGAGAACCACATATGTGGATTAACCAGAAGAGAACTTAAACATAAACAGGTAGTATGTTAGGGCAGTAAATCCAAGGGAAACAGTTTTCCTTTATAATTGCTAAAGTGCTATAGTTAGGATAAATAAAACCAGCCCCAAAAGGTTTAAAAAGCAAGGGAAAGTATTTAATTATGTTAGATGATGAGCCTGAACCACATTGTCATGCCACACAGCAAGGAGTCTTATGAAACACCCAGAGCCACTGTCCTAAACTATGACATTATATGGCCCTTTTTCTGTGGAGAAAGTCAGCTGGCAAAGTGAACTCTAACCAGCCTGTAGCTCACTTTCAGGAGGTCTGAGAAGTGGAAGGCCAGTCTTTCCTTCCCTCTTGCCTGCTGAGCCACCTTACTATGTCTGGAATAGAAAGTGAAATGCATTATGGAAATCGAGATTACAAAGAATAAACTTTTGTGCCTTTGCTGGATGTAACTGGCCTTTACCAGTTTTAGCTATGTGCCCACTCCAACTGCTGCTGCTGGGTATCACACCAGCTACTATTTCTACTTCTGCTTCAAGCAGCTAAGTTCTTGTGTGCCAAATATCCTAGAAAATCTTACTTGCATTACCACACCCTATAAATGTGCCTACTAAAATGATTTTCAAAACCACCAGAATTCATCCTTTCAAATACATTTCTCCCTACTAAAATGGCTACTTAGTCCAGCAACGGCCAACCGTCAAATCATCCTGGAGCTCAAGTCCATTTACAGTTAGTGGGTGAGCCACACAAGTATACAAGTTGCTTGTTTTAGAATTATAGCTTATTCCCACCCAGGATGCTGTCATTCAGCTTTAGAGCTCAGCTAATTCATCAGCTCTGACAGCAAAGGATGGAGAATATTTCTTTTTGAGACAGTCTCACCATGTTGCCCAGGCTGGCCTTGAACTCCTGGGCTCAAGTGATTCTCCTGCTTCAGTCTCATGAGTAGTTGGGAACCCGACATATACCACTGTACCCAGCAACCACTATGAATATTGAAAAAAAGCTGAACAGTCCAGAGGCCACATCCAAAATGGGTCCAGAAATGGGTCTATAAAATGTCAGAGCCCTAGGAGTGAATAGGTGGCCTCTTGAGTGACTTTCTAGTTAATAGAACTCTTTTTTTAAATATTGATTTTTTAGTTGTAGTTGGACATAATACCTTTATTTTATTTATTTATTTTTTATGTGGTGCTGAGGATTGAACCCAGGGCCTCACACATGCTAGATGAGTGTTCTACTGCTCAGCCACAACTCCAGCCCAATAGAACTCTTTACTAGGAAAGTGTATCTGACCAATTTGATTTTAGCTCACTTCACCATTTTTCATGGGCACTTACCTGAATACAAGCTCCTATCTTCACTTTGCACAGATTGCAAACTAAGGCCCACCGGCTGGGTGGGATGTGGGAGATTTTTGTGATTGGTTCCATCCTCTCAGGACAAGCAATGCTGACCTAGAAACAAAATATCATCATAAGGCAGAAGCATCAGTGCATTTCAGAAGTACCTTTCACAAACCATAAATTATTTTTTTTTCCTTTTGGGGTACTGGGGATTGAACCCAGGGGCACTTAACCACTGAACCACATCTCCAGCCCTGTTTTATATTTTATTTAAAGATAGGGTCTCAATGAGTTGCTTAGTGCCTTGTTTCTGCTGAGGCTGGCTTTGAACTCTTGATCCTCCTGCTTCAGCCTCCAGCCCACTGGGATTACAGGCATGTACCTCGATGCCCGGCTAAATTTTTAAATTTTGAGATAGGGTATTGCTAAATTGCTGAGGATGGCTTTGAACTTGCAATCCTCCTGCCTCGGCCTCCTGAATCACTGGGATTAAGGCATGCACTACCACATCTGGACAAATGATGTTATATAAAGCTCAGAACATCAAAACAATGAGGTAAGTCACATCTTTCAAGGTTAATACAGTACCCAAAATAAACTACATACTGCTCAGTCCTTCAATCTTTTCTAGTAATATAAATGATTCATATATAGGATGAGAGTGCAGGAGTGTAGAGCAGGGATGGTTATCTTAATGAATCAAAGATATCTACCTTTACTTAGGAACCAAAGAAAGCTACTAAGGAAGGAAATTAAAATTCACAATATCTAGCACCTGTTATATGCCAGAGATAGTGGCATATGCCTCATTATTTCATTTCATCAAATAAGGGTAAAAACAGGCAGTGACAAATCTTTACATTTAGTTTACAGAAAGTACAATACTGTTGGAAAACACCAGCAGCATATTTATATAATGAAGAGATTGTAGCATGTAAGGAGAAAAGATGAGGATGATAACATTTCCAAACCAAAAGTCTTTTTTTTTATTGGTTGTTCAAAACATTACAAAGCTCTTGACATATCATATTTCATACATTAGATTCAAGTGGGTTATGAACTCCCATTTTTTCCCCAATTACAGATTGCAGAATCACATCACAAACCAAAAGTCTTTAAAACCACATAACTACCATCAGCTTACCCTACTTCCTCAGGCAAAGTACCTTGAAGTGAAATTAGTCTTTAGGAGAGTGCTGAAAGGAAAAGGATGAAAACATTCTTTTCCTCATGAAAATAATGAGCCATGCAACTTCTGGTAAAAGATATTTTCAATTTGTTTTACAAATACATGACTTTCTATGAGAGAAACAATTTTAAAAAGTGAAGAACTATCAAATAAAGATGGTCAAACTAGTACAAATTCTAACCACATCAGGAAACAGATTTGGAATACTCCAAAAGGCAATGGAAACCAAGAATGTTTGAAACCACAAGAGATGTTAACAGCTGACAAAGCTTATTGTACTTCTAAAGAACTCTTCCTGAGTCAGGAAGACTTTTATGAGCTAAGAGAGATGGGAGAACTGCTGTTGGAAACCAGACACTCAGGCCAGAAACCTGGGTTCATGTTACATGTCTATTAGCTGGATGTAATTATTATTATTATTATTAAGTACTAGGGATTGAACTCAGGGGCGCTTACCCACCAAGCCACATCCCCAGACTTTTTTTTTAAATTGTTAATTTATTTTATTTATTTATTTTTATGTGGTGCTGAGGATTGAACCCAGTGCCTCACTGTGCTAGGCAAAAGCTCTGCCACTGAGCCACAACCCCAGCCCTCTCCAGCCCTTTTTATTTTGAGACAGGGTCTCACTAAATTGTTTAGGACCTTGATAAAATGCTAAGGCTAACCTCAAACTTGTGATCCTCCTGCCTCAGCCTCCTGAATTTCTGGGATTATAGGTGTGTGCCACCATGATGGGCTAGCTGGATGTTCTTAATGAGAAAAAGAAACTGCTCCTCAAATATTTTTAAAAATATGTAGGCTCTGGGGCTGGGGTTGTGGCTCAGTGGTAGAGCACTCATCTGGCACATGAGAGGCCCTGGGTTAGATCCTTAGCACCACATAAAAATAAATAAACAAAATAAAGGTACTGTGTCCAACTACTTCTTAAAACTAAATATTTTTTAAAAAGTGTGGGCTGGGGTTGTGGATCAGTGGTACAGTGCTTGCCTAGCATGTGTGAGGCCCTGGGTTTGATCCTCAGCACAACAAATAAATAAAGGTATTGTGTCCATCTATAACTAAAAAATATTAAAAAATGTGTATATCTATAAGAATACAAAATTATGTATCTAGGACTTTTAGGTTTAATTCTGTGGGCTTGATTATTAGATAGTAACTTTTCTGGAACCAATAACAACAAAATTAAATCCAGAGAAATTTTAAAGGAGAATCAAATACTAATAACAATATCATCAGTTTCCCATTAACTGAATTCCATCGTATCTTGTAATGCAGTTAATCTGCTTAACACATTTTCTGGCTTACATAGGGGTTGGGGTGAGAGAGTGTGAGTGAGATGTCCAAACAGCTTTTTTTTTTTTTTTTAAAAAGGTATTTAGCCAGATGTGGTAGCGCACACCTGTAATACCAGTAGCTTAGGAGGCTGAGGCAGGTGGATCGTGAGTTCAAAGCCAGCCTCAGCAATGGCGAGGCCCTAAGCAACTCAGTGAGACCCTGTCTCTAAATAATACAAAATAGGGCTTGGGGGTGTGGCTCAGTGGTTGAGTGACCCTGAATTCAATCCCTGGTACAAAAAAAAAAAAAAAAAAAAGCAGTGCAGTGCTATGACACATGCCTATAATCCCAGCAACTTGGCAGGAGGATCACAAGTTTGAGGCCAACTTTGGCAACTTAACAAGACACATTTGAGGCCAACTTTGGTAACTTAACAAGACCTCATCTCAAAATAAAAAATAAAGCCAAGCATGGTGGTGCACATGTATAATCTCAGTAGCTCAGGAGGCTGAGGAAGGAGGATTGCAAGTTCAAAGCCAGCCTCAGCAACTTAGCAAGGCCGTAAGCAACAAGACCCTGTCTCAAAATAAAAAGTAATTAATGGGCTGAGGATGTGGCTCAGTGGTTAAGTGCCCCTGGCTTCAATCCCTGGTGCCAAAACAAACAAACAAACAAATAAATAAATAAATAAATAAATAGATAGGGCTGGGGTTGTAGCTCGGTGATAGAACACACCCGTATCCAAGAAGAATCCCACATAGTGGAAGCATTATTACTTCAGAAACATTGGCAAATATGAAGCTTTCCACTGTAAACCTGTGTCAGTCTAAATGCTGTGGGAACGGGCTGGATGTGGGGTACCCTGAAGAAAATGGCTTCAGTCTTAGATTTCTCACCTCTGGAATCCACAGGGCACAGCTGACATGAGCCCATTTAGTCCCTGTTCTGGTGGTCTTCATGGCTCCACCTTTCTTTGGACATAGAAGACACTGTGGATGAATGCCCAGGACACAGGAGCGACACAGCCAGCTGCCTTCTGGGACCTTGAGGATGCCATAGCAGGCCTGGAGGCATGAGGAGGAGAGGAAGAATGGTTAGCATCTTTGTACCAGGGTCCATGTCTATTCTACCACACAGTCAAGTATACCCTCTGCTTTTGGGAGAAAGTCAAGTATACCCTCTGCTTTTGGGAGAAAGTCAAATAAAGCCAAATAAGTTTAAATCCAGGATTGAGAGATTTAAAAACACTCAAAAAGGCAAATTCCAGTATCTGAACTAAGATCAGTATGTCTGACCAAGAGAACTGAATTTAAGGATGATAGAATAAGACTAGGAGAATATACTCCCAAAGGCTAGACCAATCTGTTATCTGAGGGTTGGGAATATAGATTTTTTTTGCCTCTGTTTTCTAAAGCTTCTTCAGTGTTTATGTATTTTGATTAGCCAAATACTTATTGAATATACTCTACATATCATGCACCATTGTGATCAAGAAAAAAAACTGTTAGGAAATAAACAAACTTCTGAAGAGTAAATAAACTAATGTTAATCAAGAATCTAATAGTGTCTGGTATATAAAAAGCACTCAGCAAATCATAGTAATTTGCATGGGTTCAAAAAATAGGACTTGTATTCTTTAAGAATTAAAAAGCCATGTTGGGTAAGTACATGTGGAAAGGGACTGCAGGTGTCCTTTAGGACCTACCAGAAACCTCAAGGATCTAAGAATGGCTGCCTGTTGACAGCTAGTGAAAAGTTAGGGCCTTAAATCATACAAAGAAATGAATTCTGCCAACAGCTTTCCTGAATTTGGAAACGAATTTGCCCCTAGTAGAGCCTCCAGATAAGAGCTCAGTCCGGCTGACACCTTGACTACACCCTTGCAGCTCTGAGCAGAGGACCTGCCTAAGCTGTGTACAGATTCCTGACCCATGGGTACTGTGATAAATAAATGTATGTTGTGTACTTGCTAAATATGTAGTGATTTATTATTCAGCAATGAAAAAAATGGGACTTTGAATGAATTTTGTATAGACTATTACAGTAATCAAAATCATCTATTATAAGTTCTGGAAGCTGCTTCAAATCATTTATGGAATGAATTCAGAAAAATAAATAAATGAATAACTGGTATGGTAGAAGATTAGTTTGGAAAATATTCTAGATTTCTTTTTTTCTATCTCCAGAATCATTCATCTTTTCCTTCTTCCTGCTTTACTCACTATTTGAAACTAAACCTAGGGGACACCTGGTTCTCCATGTGGCTTGGTATACCTTTCATCATTGTCCTTTTCAATATGGTAGCTTCAAAATCTCTTTAGGCCCCAGGAGATGCAGCTTCAGGTCAGATTCAAGTTATAAATTTACCATCATATCTTCACTCACCCCTAAACCTGCTCCTTTCCCAAACTCTTTCTTTCTATATCCTGTTGTGCTTCCCCAAATTCCTGGAGTTGTGTTACCCACTTGCCTTCATGGATTGGATTTGATGCTTCTTATTCCTCCCTACAGAGTAGCCTAGAGATTCTGCCCTTCCTTCCTCTCCACACCTCCACCACACTATTACTCTATCCAAGTTCTCATCACACCATGCCTGGATTGATTTACTTCTAAATTTTCTTCTTTTGTGTTCTTACATTCAACACTTCTGCTATTTGGCTCCCAAATGCTTTCTGTTAAAACAAATATTTCATGCACAGAGGCAAACCTCCCAGGATTTCTTCTGCTCTTACCTGCCCCTTACTTATATGAGGAGTTGGCTACTATCTGAAGTGTGTTTTGTAAAGCCAACAAGCTAAGAGTTTTTTTTTTTTTTTTTTCACATTTTGATGGGGTTGTAAGAAGAAGAAAAAGAACACTATGGAGTAGAGACTTTATGTGATTGGCAAAGTCTAAAATAATTACTATCTGATCCTTTAAAGAAAAATTTGCTGGCCCTTGACCTAAAGCTTGTGGCTAGTCAACACCTCACTTTTTGTTCCCATATTCCACCACATCCAAACACAGTATCCCTGACTTAGACAGGAAGGCCTCTTACATTTTCAGCCATTCTAATTCTCATGTCCATGTGTCTGTCTAGGCAGTTCCCTGCTTTATACGGTCAACCCCTCTTTGCACAGTCAGATCTTTTGCCTCAGACTCTAGGCCCCTCCAAAAACCCTGCTCAGGTCATGGTAGCCCCTTTTGTTTGTTCCACTGCCTTACACTCATTCTCTACTCCATGAAATTTCCCTCAACAAGTATACAGTAAGCATCATGTATTCTTTTTCTTCATTTTTTGTTGTCATGCTCTGTCTCCTCGGTGAGACATTAAGGTCACTGGGGTTTTTTTTCATCATCATTTACCTTTAATGCACCCAAGCTGAGCTCAAGTAGGTGGTTTGGTAGAATGAATTAACTTAGCTCAAGAACTCAAGCTGGACTCCAAATAGGCTGTTCTCATGACATTGGGGCATCATTTTTATAAGGTTCTTAACCTCTGAAGCTCTGCTCTAAACTGAGGAACAGAATGTTTGCCAGGAAATGAAAGCAAGCTTCTTATCTAAAATAGAGCCTCTTTCAGAATGGCAGAAGAGAAGCTAGTGGCTGCTTCTAAGAATGCCCTTTCTTTTGCCAATCTTCTATTGGGCAGAATGAGCCCTTTGTACAATTATTTACGGCCATAATTTTATAAAAGTTTGCATTTCATAGCAGTGATTCTTAACCTGTTATGGACCATAAAATGAATAAGCTTGTGAAGTTTGAGAAATAACATTCATTACATTTTACATAAAATTTCAGGGGTCAATAAACTCAGTGTCAAGTTATTATATTCATGACAGAAATAAAAACCTTAAGAGCATGCACATTAGGCAAATTAACTGATATTAATATGAGTGTTCTACATTTTGGCTAAGAAGCAGAAAATGGGTACACACACAGGGATTTGGAATGGTCAATTTTCACATTTTTCTATAGAAAAAAAATGTTAAACTCTAAAGTCTACTGATACACATTTTAAGGTACTGAACATGAGTATATTTTTGTCACTGAGGAAAAATACTGGACACAAAGTAAAGAAGAAAAATTATGTTTAATAAATTCAGATGTCAATGTGTTTCCATTCTGTTAAGGAGTATATCGAACTTTCCAAATCATTTTAAATCATTTTTCGGCCAACAGAGGGAGCTCTAACATAAGCAGCTCTTTTGGATCCAAGTGAATGTACTCTGGAAGAATATGAAGCTTTAAATATATTCCAAATTCCCAGCATCCCCCCCCCTTTTTTTTGGTACCAGAGATTGAACCCAGGGGTGCTTAACCACTGAATCACATCTCTAGACCTTTTTATTTTTAATTTTGAGACAGGGTCTCACTAAATTGCTTAGGGCCTCACTAAATTGCCAAGGCTGGCCTCAAACTTGCAATCCTCCTGTCAGCCTCTGGAGCCACTGGGATTATGGGAATGCACTACCATGTCTGGAAAATTCCCAGCTTTAGTACATATCAGTTTATATTATCAGTTTATATTCTGCAAGGCCTCGCCAGCTGCTATTGTCATCTCTATGTGAAGAAGGGACATCATTTATAGTCATTACTAGATGTATTTTCAAAACAAATGACTTGCTTTTGGGACAATTATTATGCTACTTTTAATTCTGTTAGTTAACCTGAAAATAATTCCTTAATATTTTGTCATCATTGCAAAGGATAAATATAGAAAACATATACAGATGACCTTTATCCTGTTCCCTTTAAGTCTACTAAAAATCCATGATCATTTATCTGAAACCTGTACAGTGAGAAACATTAGGAAATTCAGAATTGTTTTGGTCTAAAGAAGTAATATAGTATATACATGGTATACTACCTAACTGTAGTGGGACCAAAAGCACCACTGTATAATTGAATGTTAATGTATCTCTAACAAAGTATATGATTATTTGCACAAAATAAATAAAGACTGTAAATGGCCTCATATTGGGTGAATTCTGGTATTGTCCCCAAATCTGTTTTAGAGCACAACTTCAGCAAAAAGTGCACTTTTCAGAGCTTTATAATTTTGGAATTGCAGAGAAGGGACAGCAATACATTAAGATCAGAGTTAAATTATATTTTTTTCTCTCACTGAAAATATTGCATAAATGCCAATCATTAGGGGAATGAAGATAAAATTTCAAAATTCACTATTTTAGAGGTTACAGGTAAATGAAAACAGACTAAATTGATCATTGAAAATTTAGAGTATATTTTACATACAGAGGGTTATGTTTGGTGGCCCATAGAATTAAAACAAAGTCTTTTTTTTTTTGATATTGGGGATTGAACCTAGGGGTTCTTTACCACTGAGCTACATCTCCAGCCCTTTCTATTTTGAGATAGGGTCTTGTTAAGTTGCTGAGGATGGCCTTGAACTTGTGATCCTCCTGCCTCAGCCTCCAGAATTGCTGGGATCACAGGCATAGATCATCACACCTGGCAAAAACAAAGTCTTAAGCCCTATTTGCTCTCTATCTCTTATGTTACTTGGTCTAATCATTTTAGTTATTTTAGCCAGAATGATCTCTTCAAAATGCAAATCATTTCCTTCAGAGTTGACAGGAAAAAACAATAATTCTTCAATTTGTCACAAGGTCCTTCACATGTGTCTCCTTCTCTTCCCTCAGTCTCCAGGCCTTCTCTACTCCACTCTGTAGTTCTGATGTACTCAGAACCGTCTCCAATACACTTTGCTTACTCTCACTACCTGCTATATGTTCTCCTCTCTTCCTTGCTGGTTTATCTGACATCTCCTTTTGGCCATTATAATTCAGCATGAATGCCACCCTCAAGTTGTCCTTGACTCCTATCCCCACTTTGCATTTTCACAGTAGCATGGACTTCTATCTTTAAAAACACTTGGTATACTATGCTAAATTGGCGGTTTCCTTGTAGTTCTTACGCCAGACTATGATATTCCTGGGAGTAGAGAGCATATCTGCCTCTTTATCACTGACTGTGTCCTCTGCACACAGCACAGTCCTGGCACATGGATGGTGCTGAGCACTTACAGTGTTTGCTAGATGAATTACATTTTGGGAGATATGTAGATTTTTGATAGCTGGAGATGGGAGAAGACATTTTTAAATTGTGACATGACTGAAACATGGAGACAGGACAGTGCCAGCAATATTCATCATTGTACTTTGAGTAGCCTTATTTTGCTGGAGCACTGAGCTTGTGGAGGCAGGAGAAAGGACAGAGCTGAAAGGAGTGTTTTTTTTTAAGAGAGAGAGAGAGAGAAAATTTTTAATATTTATTTTTCAGTTTTCGGCGGACACAACATCTTTGTTTGTATGTGGTGCTGAGGATCAAACCCAGGCCGCACGCATGCCAGGCGAGCGCGCTACCGCTTGAGCCACATCACCAGCCCAAGGAGTGTTTTTTTTTTTAAATATTTTTTAGTTGTAGTTGGACACAATATCTTTATTTTATTTATTTATTTGTATGTGGTGCTCAGGATCGAACCCAGGGCCTCACATGTGCTAGGCAAGTGCTCTACCGCTGAGCCACAAACCCAGCCCCTGAAAGGAGTGTTGATAATCATTAATTAAGAGGTCAGTGTGGTAGAATGAATGACCAAAAAATAGCTTAGGTAAAGTCACTTAACCTCTCCTGATATTGTGTGTAAAGTTAAAAAGTTAAATAGCCCTTCAGAGTCCTAAAATTCTGTGATCTCTAAAAGTGAGGTGGACCTAGCTTCCTGGGAGTAGTACATTTGGGGATAGGGAGGGCCTTGGGTACTAGGATGAGGAGTCCAGCATTCCACCTATAAGAAGTATAAACTCACTCAGGTTACTGACCATGGGTGTAACCTGGTGATGTTGTAGGAGAGAGAGACTCCCAGGCAGCCGGTATGGGAACCCCCTGCGGGAAATGAATAAGGCAATTCCAATGGTCTGAGCATGAAGTAACATAATAAAAGACCTGGATTTAGCTTCCTGGGGTAAGCTTGATAATGACATCTCAGGTATCACAAGAAGTATTGTTCTGGAAGAAATACTGAAGAACAGTCAGGCCAAAGTCTTATTTTCACTATTAAATGCAAGGTGCTACCCAGATACGGGGGTGTTTGAGATCATTACTAAGTTTTAGAAATGCTGACCGTGGGAAGGTGGCAGTTTCCACTCTCACTAACCTGATGCACACAGATGTTACACTTATCACAGAATACCATATCATTCCCTTCTTCACTGTCTGGAGACCGGCACACATCACAGATCACATCTTCATCATACTCTATGCCTAGCCCTTCCTCTGTCTCAATAGCATGGTTCATATTTTCATGGCAATGGCGTTCCAGGACTTCTACTGTCTTTTCCATAAGGGTCTCATCAACTGGCCCATAACCTGCACAGAAATACAAACAATCAATCAACCTGTCAGTCAGCTGTCATTCCCAAATAAGCTACTGTGAGCCCAGTGCAAGGGTGAGTAGAATTCTAGAGGATAAAACAATGTTTTTTTCCCTGTTCTAAAAAAACTCCAAATTTAAAGAATCTTGTTCTCGAGCTATTCTAACATTTACCTACAAATACATATTAGTGTTTGATGCATGAAAGGAATAATACATTTTACCATATTTCTTAGAAGTTTACGGGTTCTTTGATTTTTTTTTTTTGTTTAAATCCTAGTTAGTCTCCTCCTAAATCTCTATTTTCCCTTATTCCCAAGCTTGGTAATTTTGAACACTTTAATTTGTAGTGTAATACAATAACTAAATCACATGACAATTCGGACATAAATAGTTCTTAGCAACCTAGCTTCAATAAGCTTATCTAATGGTCATATAAGGAAGTTTTCAATTTTAAGCCATAAAAGGAAGGTATAGATACTATGTGTACATGATTAAACATATAAAATATTTTGTTTTTGAAGCCTGACTTTTATAAAATTCAATACCACTTTCAATAGCAAACTAATATAAATCTATTAGCATTCATAAAGGTCTGACTGCAATTCTAAAATTACCTTTTTGTTTCTTGATTCCTTTTTTCTTCTATACTTTTATTTTCTCTTAGCCTTCCACATTTAACTAAAGGATTCATATGGCAGATGTTGGTAACAACTAAACATTTTTCTTCTTAGAAGGATTAATGATTTTGTGAAAGCACATATATATATTTATTCAAAACAGCTTGTAAATTCAGGAGTAATTCTCAAAATGATCCAAGACAAAATATTCAAGAATTCTACTTCATTTTTAATGTAAGACATTCTAAAGATCTTTGGAATTCCTTACAAACTACTTTTAATGTAGCTACTTTTGAAACAAAAAATTACCCAGGCCTTATGTTTCATTTTTCCAGCCAAGTCTCTCTCTCTATATATACACATATGTATACATGTCTCTCTCTATATATATACATATATATATATATACATATTTATATATGTAATATATGTATAAATAATAATCTGATTAAGAGAACTTGGATTTCAACTTTACTTAATATTAGCTATGTAAACTTTGACAAGTCATTTATTCTCTTTAGGGCTTAGTGTTCTTATCTACAAAGTAAGGATAAAATAACAAATTCACTGATTTGTTGAGGATAAAATAATATTCATACATTGCACAGTGTGGGGTGCCAGTATATAGTGAGCACTGAATTTATAAAATTTCTTTTTTTCCTTTCTTTCTTTTTTGGTACTGGGCATTAAACTTGGAGGTGCTTTACCACTGAGCTACATCTCCAGCCATTTTTAATTTTTTATTTTGAGACAAGGTCTTGCTAAATTGCTGAGGTTGTCCTTGAACTTCCAATCTTCCTGTGTCAATCTCCTGAGTCACTGGGATTATAGGTGTGTTCCACAATTCCCAGTTGCCTAAAACTTCCTTAATCTAAGCCTCCAAATACTTAATTTAAAATTGTTTCTATAAAGTTTATTTTAAGCTCCTAGAAGTGTCATTACGATGTCATTCACCCTAAAGGAAAACTTGAGATAAGGCAAGTCCTATTTCAAAACTATTCTAAGCCTAAATGCAATGTGGTATCCTGAATGGGATCGGGAACAGAAAATGGCCAGGAGTAGGAAAAAAACCTGTGAAATCCCAATAAAGTCTGGAATTTAATAACAGTAATATGCCTGTGTTGATTTCTTAGTTTTGACAAATGTACCATGGCAAAGTAAGATGCTAACATTAGGGAACTGAAATTGTGTGAGGTGTACATGGGAACTTTCTAAACTGATTTTCTGAAAATCAAACTATTCAAAAATAAAAAAGTTTATTTAAAATGAGTTAGTTATAAAAAGTATCAAAGGGTCCTTGTCATAGGTGGTTTCATAGGCAGCACTAAGTGATTGCATTATCTACGATGCTACATGTTTTACATGTAACACCATGCACTAAGCCATCAGTTTACTTGATTATGTCCTCATACTCTGATGTTCCATCTGTCAGTCTTTTATTCCCTTCCCTTTGTGGTTACCACCCTAAATTGACCAGCCCCTCTCCTCTTACAGGGGATAGTAAGAGAAGATATAAATCAACAAGTTTAAAAATGCAAGGAATGAGAATTGGTTACTGGCAGAATAACTACTATCACCATGCCAAACTGGATTTAATATAATTTTATTTTTTTTCACTTGCATTTAAATACCAGCCTCAAAAGAAAGAAAAAAAAAGAGAGGAGGAAGAAAAACCATTTATCCTCGAATTGACAATAAACAAATGTGATTCAAACAAAAATGAAATCAAATGCATTCTTTATCATATCTCATATGGAGACTTAAAAATCACCTACAGTTCCACAGGAAAACTTGACCTACACTCTGCTTAGACTGAAACAGGTGAACAAAAGGTTTAAGTGTGAAGTGAGTCTCATTTCAGCCTAGCATTTCCCAGCACTGATTATATGGTACTGTCTGGTAACATTTACTTTCAAATTATTGTTATGCTTCTTTCCAAATTTTTGTTTGTTTTAATAAATATAGTAAAATGTTTATTTCATTTATAAAAATTGTATGGTAACTCCAGAACTCAATGGAGGAAACTAAGAGCTGCTTGGAAGATGTTTCTCCCTAGATCTGCCATTTTTCTTTTGGGCAGCAAAATTATAAGTCTAGCACTAAGGGGTACTGTTCATAGCAATCAATTAGTTGTAATGGTGGTGTTCAATGCTAAAGTTGGAACTTCTCTCAAACACCTGGCACATGTATCTTTATACCTGACCCTGCTCACCGATCAGAGTACTTTCCAGGGCCAACGCAGGAGCTCAGAATCCTTCTTAACCAAAGTCTGATCAGCCATGACCACAGTCACACTCGGCACTGGGAAACAATCTCTAAACCTATATGCCATCCTTGACCTGTGTTATTTACCTTGAATGAGGAAAGAAAAGGTCAGATTTAAATGTCATTGCTGTTTCAATACATTTATGCATTTGAAGACATACCTCATAAAGTAAGATCAAAGAAAAAAAAGGCCAGAAAAGAAAGAAAGGGAACAAGATGAAACCAAGTTAAAGGGTTGTAACAACTTAAAAAAACTCATGAGTTGAATCAAAGAACAATTACTTGTGAGAAAATAACTTACCCATTTCTACGAGGTCTTCATTGAGTTCCTGAAGCCAGAAGATGTCCATGTCATCTAGGTCATAGCGGCATGTAGATGCTGCCAACTCCAGAATGTTGATGTAGCCAGGCTCTGTAGTCTCTGGGCTGGAGCAACGGATGTACTTTCGGGGTCGAACAAAGAGAACCTCTTTTGCTTTCTCAGATATAACCCTAGAAAAGCAAGAGGAAGACATTGGTTGATCAATAGATGACAGGTTCCAGGCACTGACTGGATGAGTACAATAATACTTAGGCCATGACAGTGGAGCTAGATGCTCTCCCTTTTCTTCCATTCCCTGCTTTGCCCTCTGAGAGATAGGGCAGATTCCTTTCTAGGAAGCAAATGGTTCTGCAAATTGAGTTTTGTCATCTGCTGTGAAACACTGATACTTTAATGATATTAATGACACAAATAAGAAGTTTAAACCCTCATTTCTAGAACTATAGGATTTGAACCTAATTCAAGAATTCAAAATTGATAAGCATCATTCATCCTCATGGATCCTGGGATCTGACAAGCATTCATCCTAATAAAATGTTGTTGCATTATTGTGTGTTCTTGGTACAGTAGTCACCAAATGTAATTAAAAGGGGAAAACTGAGAGATGGTGATATCTGCATAAAGGCACAGCTAGATCCCCAACCAAAGATATAGTTCAGTCAAATTCCTGATTTTCTACCACGGAAACAATACTGGATGGTGGTACAGAGCATGGACTTTAGATTCTCATGGGCCTATTTTTTCTGCCATTCACTTGTATGGTGATCTTGGGCAATTGATTTGCATAAGGCTCAGCTTTCTTAGCTAATAGGTAGGGATAAGAATGATAAATTATGATAAAAATAATAATAAATACCAAACTTGTATTGGTTATTATAATTATATGAAATAAAGTGTTTGGCATAGTATATAGTAAAAACTTAGTGTTCAATAATGTCAGTAATTATTATACTTATTATTTTCACTACACAAATGAGTTAAGTCAAGAGGCTATGGAGTTACAAAAACTGAAAGTATTTCACAACCATAAACAGCAACCATTAAGTCTGAGCTAGGGTAACATAATGGAATGAAAAATTCCTACTCTTACATCAACTTGCAGGCCTGAGCAAACACATACTTCCTCTTACCCTTCTTGACACTCAAAAGCCAAAGGAAACCAAACAAGGGAAAAATGGAAGTTTTTTTTTTGTGTCAACAACTTATTCTATAATTGATGGTTTAAATACCATGTGAGGCATTAGAAAATATAACCAGGAGGAAATATGGATTATTAAATTCCTGGCAACTTTTTTTTTTCTGGTACTAAGGATTGAACCCAGGAGCACTCTAAGTCCCTAGCCCCCTTTTTTGGTAATCTTTACTATTTATTTATTTATACAGAGCCCTTCAATAGTTTGAATTACACAAATTGAATTTTTTCTGAAATTATAAATATGCTTTAGCAGTGGTGATTTTGATTTAAACTTTGTACATGTGAACATTATGGTTCAGGAGCACACAGAGAGGAAGCATTGTATAAAGAAATGAGCATACTGTGTAATCTTTTAGGGTTTTTTTTTTTAACCATACGATTTATTTTTATTTTTTTAGTCATACATAACAGCAGAGTGTATTTTGACATATAATACATACATGGAATGTACATACATCAATCATAATGTCTATTTTATTCTGCTGCCCTTCCTATCCCCCCTACTCCTTCCCTCCTCTCCCATCCTTTTTCTCTATCCAATCTAATGTGACACACTTGTTTTTCTTTTTCTCATCACAACATCATATATGTATTCTGTATAACAATGCCTAGCCGTTTTTTAAAAAAAAATATTTTGAGACAGGGTCTTGCCACATTGCTGAGGCTAGTCAAACTCTTGATCCTCTAGCCTCAGTTTCCTGGGTTGGTGGGATTAAAGGCCTGCACCACTGCACCCAGTAATCCCTGTTAATTTTAAAGAACAGGGTGGGTTATCTTAAAACAAACAAACAAACAAACAAAAATCCCCCAGAAATAGGCATAGAGGTCATCATAAAATAACGAAAATTATTTCTCTGGAAGACTTCTGAACCTAGTTCTACTCTGGAGTCATTTATTTGTAGAAGGATTCATAAACATAAACATAATCCTAAGAATACATATAAATATATATAGGCATAGTCCACCCTATAAATATTGAATTGATATTTCCTTTGAAACATTCTTCCAAAAGCCTATTATTCCAATTAATGTTATCTTGAATGGTGTAAATAATTATACACATTTGTATATTTTAATTTTACTACCATATAAAGTTTTTTTTTAAAGCTAAAGGCAACAAATATTTGGGAACAAATGAAGAAACCTCAAATATTGACTAAAGCTAAAAATTTGAAACTGCTATCAAAGGTCTGTTTCTAACGGAAATGAACACAACTGAAAAGGACAAGACACACATGAATTCTCCAGAAACTATGAGATTAAATACGCAGTGCTTCTTTGGTACATAGCTTACAAAGTAATAATATCCAAATTTGTTTCAAGATTTGTCTTTTTCTAAAAAAGAAGACTATTCATAGCTAATGATTTGTTTAAATTGTCTCAAGTTGTACATGGGAAAGGTAGACTATAAATGGTTTTGAATTAAACTAATGTGTTTATGAAGTTCCTGGAAAAAAATCAAAGGAGAATATATTTATGACCTTGGGGTAGGCAAAAATATTTTAAATAAAACGCAAATGCCATTAACCACAAAAGAAGAGACTGAGCTGGCACGGTGGCACACACCTGTAATCTCAATGGCTCTGGTGGCTAAGGCAGGAGGATCTCCAGTTCAAAGCCAGTCTCAGCAACTTAGTGAGGCACTATGAAACTCAGTGATACCCCATCTCTAAATAAAATACAAAACAGGACTTGGGATGTGACTCAGTGGTTGAGTGCCCCTAAATTCAATCCCTGGTACCCCCTCCCCCAAAAAAACAAAGAGATTAAAAAAATAAACTTCTTCTGGTTATCAAAAGACATAATTAAGAGGGGGAAAAGGCAATTCATGGAACAGACAATATTTATAATTACATAGACAAAAGAGGACTTATATCTACAATGTATGTAAACACTTGCAAATCAATTAGAAAAAAAATAAGACAATCTGGGACTGGGGTTGTGGCTCAGTGGTAGAACACTCGTCTGGCATGTGTGAAGCATTTGGGTTCAATCCTCAGGACCACATAAAAATAAATAAATAAAATAAAATGTTAACAAAACAAAACAAAACCAAGACAATCCAATTAAAATCCAGACAAAAGACTTTAGACACTTTAAAAATAAGGCTATCCAGGGGCTGGGGTTGTAGCTCAGTGTTTGAGCACTTGCCTCACTACGTGGGGCACTGGGTTCAATCCTCAGCACCACATAAAAAAATAAATAAAATAAAGATATTGTGTCCTTAAAAAAAAAAAAAAAAGGTTATCTATATGGCAAACAAACTTTTTGTTATTGTACCAGGGACTGAATCCAGAACCCAGGGGTATTTTACCACTGAGCACATCCCAACCATTTTTAATTAAAAAAAAAATTGAGACAGGGTCTTACTAAGTTGCTTAGGGCTTCACTAAGTTGCCCAGGCAGGACTCACAAACTTGTGATCCTTCTGACTCAGCCCCCTGAGTCTCTGGGATTATAGGTGTGCACCACCACAACTATATGGCAAGCAAACTTTAAAAGGCTTTCAACCTCATTAGTTATCACAAAAATTGAAATTACAATAACTCATCTATCAGAATGGCTAAACTTTAAAAGACTGACTCAAAATTGACAATACTAAGTGTTGTTAAGAAAGTAGAACAAACAGAACTCTCATAAACTGCTGGTGGGAGCATGAATTGGTATAACTTCATTGGCAGCAGATATTATAGCTATCAGGTATAAACAGTTTGACACACACTTTTATGACCTAGCAAATCCACTTATAGGCACTTAACAAATATGTACACAACTATGTACCAAAAGATGAACAAAAATGTTTGCATTAGCTTTTTTTGTAGCTGAAAACAGGAAACAACCCAAGTATCCATTGAGAACAGAATGGATAAATTGTGGCACGTTCACACAACAGAATGTGACATGGGGCTGGGGATGTGGCTCAAGCGGTAGCGCGCTCGCCTGGCATGCGTGCGGCCCAGGTTCGATCCTCAGCACCACATACTAACAAAGATGTTGTGTCTGCCAAAAACTAAAAAAAATAAATATTAAAATTCTCTCTCTCTCTCTCAAAAAACAAACAAACAAAAAAAGAATGTGACATGTTATGGTTTGGATCTGGATTATCTCTCCAAAGTCTCAGCTGTTGAAGGCTTGGTCCCCCATGCAGCAAAGTCCAGAGGTGGTACTTTTGCAAAGTGATTAGATCACAAGGGCTCTGCTCTGATCAGTGGAGTAATCCACGGATAATTAAATGGACTACTGGGAGGTGATGGAAATTGTATTCAGGTGGGGGATATGATTGGAGGGAATAGGTTATTAGGGGTATGCCTTTGGAGACTGTATCTTGGCCTTGATCCCTCTCCCTTCCTTCTGGCTGCCAAGAGTTAAGCAGCTTTCCTCAACCATGTTCTTCTGCCGTGATGTTTCTGCCTTAGAGCCAGCCGGCAACGGACAGAAACCTCTAAAACCATAAGCCAAAAATGAACCTTCCCTACTTTCAGTTATTGTCAGGTCTTTTGGTTATAGGAATGAAAAGTTAACTAACACAACACAGAAGTGAAAATTAACAAACTACTAATACTGTTGTATTATAATGAACAAAACAATCCAGTCTTGAATATATAATGTAAAACTCTATTTATATGAAGTTCAAAAACTGGCACAACTGTTACCTAGGGTGAGGAAGGTCAGTTACTGACAGGGAACAGAAGGAGAGCTTCTAGGGCATTGGTCATTTTCTATTTTTAAAAAATATTTTTTTCTAGTTGTTGATTGGCCCTTATTAGTTTTTTTTTAAAGAATCTAATCTTTATTTTATTTTTTGATGTTGTTTATGTGGTACTGAGGATCAAACCCAGGGCCTCACCAGCACTAGGCAAACGCTCTACCACTGAACCACAATCCCAGCCCCTCATTTTCTATTTTTTGATCTGGATGGCAGTTAAAATGAATCTGTCTACTCTATAAAAATTCATTGAGTTATACAAATATGTT